CAGACGCCGCCGTCCGGAGGCAGGAAGGGCTGGGCCGAGGCTGCGCTTCTAAGGATGCGCCCTGGGCCCTGCCGGCGAGCCCCCAGAAGGGCAGCGGAAGAGGGTGGGGAACCAGATCGCGAAGTGGAAGGTGCCCCCAGAAAAGCACGTGTGGGGGAGGAGGGCTCTTTGGAGAGATTATATCACCCCTTGCGCTCCCCTTCCCCCACCCGCCGTGGGAGTGCCAGGGTGGAGGAGGGGAGGCACCCCTGGGGAGGTTGGGGGGAGAGAGGGTGCCGGCCTAGAGTGATTCATTTCAGACATCTGTGGCTCAGGAGGTGGGCTGAGTGGGGATCCTCGGGCAAGGAAGGCCTGGTGAAAGGGAAGACCAAGCCAAGTACACTTGGAGGCTGGAGACTCTGGACATCCATTTTAAACACTTCCAGGTGCCAGGCACTGAGCTGGGAGCGGGGAGCAACGAGGGGAGAAGACAAAGAAATTTGCATGGTGGTGCCTAGAGCTCCCAGCCTAGCTGACCTGCTGTGTTGGGAAAGTGTTTGCCGTGGGCTGATCCTTCTTTATCCGTGTGCAGTGACCGCCAGTCCCCAGGGGCCTGTCAGGACCTCGGATTGGGTCGTCTTGAACTGCTCCTTCAGCCGCCCTGACTTCCCGGCCTCTGTGCGGTGGTTCCGGGGCCCAGGCAGAGTCCCCGTTCAGAAGTCTCCCCATCACCACTTAGATGGGAGCTTCCTCTTCCTGCCCAAAGTCAGCCCCGTAGACTCTGGGCTCTGGGGCTGCATCCTCACCTACAGAGATGGCTTCAGTGTCTCCAGCACCTACAACCTCACTGTTCTGGGTAACTCCTCCAGTCCGCCTTCACCCGTGACCACGTGCCTTGCTGCCCTCTTCTCATCTCCTCCTGACTTGCGGGTCCCCACAGTAGGTCCTCAGCAGCTTACACCACCTGTGATTATTCTGGGCCTCACCGTCCGGTTTCTTCCCTTCTCCTGTTGCAGCCTTTCAGCTGCCTTCTCCCATAGTAGACTTTCCTTGGGCCACCCAGCCACAATGGCCAGCCTTTGGTTTCCTGCTGGCCCACTCCCAACCCGGGTTTCTGAGCCTCTTTGGTTCTTCCACCTTATTCTACTCCTTAGCCCTCTTCAGAGCCGGACCACCTCCTTCGATCCTGCACTTTTCTGCCTCTCTTCCGTTCAGATCCAGTGTCCCAGCCCCGCTGCCACCTCCCCCTCTCTGCTTTAACGTTGGGTTTCCTTTTCTCTCCAGATCCGGAACCTCCAGTCCCTCTGACAGTGTACACAGGAGCAGGTTCCCGGGTGGAGCTGCCCTGCCCTCTGCCTCCTGGTGTAGGCACCGGGTCTTTTCTCACTGCCAAGTGGGCCCCTCCTGGGGGAGGCCCTGACCTGCTGGTGACTGGAGACAATGGCCACTTGACCCTTCAACTGGAGGCTGTGAGCCAGGCCCAGGCTGGGACCTACACCTGCCGCGTCCATCTGCAGGGGCAGCAGCTCATTTCCACCGTCACTTTGGCAGTCATCACAGGTTAGGCTTGTGTGGGAAAGGAATAGCTCCCAACCCAGAGGAGCTGGACAGGGAGGGATGCCTGGCCGGGCAAATACTGGCAAAGCCACCTCATGATGCCAGGCCATAGGCACAATTTCCAGAGGCTGCCCCTCGAGGCCTCTTTTTTTCTCACCCCCACATATAAAAACTGAAACTAAAAATCTCCCCTGAGTCACTAGATGCATGTTCCACTCTTCTCTAAGGGGATCCCCTGCTCTGAATTGGGGGGGTGGGGAGGGTCTGAGAAGTTAGAAGGAGAAGTGGCAAAAGTTTGAATGGTTCCAAAGGGGTGGACTATATTTCTAGAATCCTTGTCCCACTTTGGGGCCAGGGCTTGGGTTAAAGTTGCAGGAAGTGGCCTGGATCTGGGAGGAGTTAATACATCAGTTCCTTGGTCAGCAAATATTTACTGATCATGGGCTTTTCAAGACAGTGTAAAACAAACACATTAAAAAAAAACACACACCTCAAAATGTGTTGATTGATTGGTTATTCAATCAATTACCAGTGGTGGTTACTTGACTGTGTCTGCAGTACTGACCTGTGGAAACTAAATAATAGCACCACATAGTAGGTGCTTAATGAATATAGTTGAATGAATAAGTGATTATGCTAGCAAATAATACATCCCCTATCTGCCAGTGCTGAATTTCCATATACTTCCTGGAAATTTCTACCTAGATCTCAGCCTCACTCTGAACCCCATCTTTTCCTCATGCTAAGTCTTGCTGACTTATCCTTTCTGTCAATAATGCCATTTGCATCCCACTCACCCTGAAACCTGGCTTTCTCCTTCCCTCATGTCCAGTCAGTTGCCAAAGCCTACCAATTCTTTCTGTCTAAGGTTTTCTTGAGGGCCCGTTGTTTTGTGTCAGTTTCTCATGCTATCTCATGACAATTCAACGTGAGATGCTTTCTAGAGGAGGAACATTCCCAAAGTCACACACCGGGGAAGTGTCAGACTCAGGGTCTGTACTCAGATGTCTGTGTCACCAAATCTTCAGGTTCCTGTGCACTATTTGTCTCCTCCTACTCACCCTGTCTCTCACCGTTCAGCTTTGAGATGCTCTGTCTCTAGGTCAGATGGTCAGTTCACCCTTCTCCAAACATCCAGGAAGTGGGCAAGTTCATTCAGGGGGCACCTCAAGGCAGGGGCACTGATGTGTGATTCAAATTATGAAAGCAGGAACAGTGCAAAGTATATTGGGGGCCAACTCACCTAACAGATATTGAGGGTTTGAGCATTTGAGTGGTAGTAATGTAAAAGAGTCTGAAATAATATTCGTTATGGGATCCTTCTGGCCTAGTTTGAGTTTGAACAGTCCCCTGAAGGCAACAGGGAGCCTGGGAAGTTTTTGAGCAGCGGAGTGATCTGACCAGAACTTTGTCTTCATAAGATTACTTTGGCCATGACCCTGGTCTCCTCCCCTCAGCCTCACCCAATCAGAGCCCAGGGGAGTGCAGTGTGCCTGAGACTTGGGAGTTGATCCTATGGTGTCAAGTAAGGGGGCCGGGGACTCAGAAGATCTCTTCCCTCTAATGTTTTCAGTGACTCCCAAATCCTCCGGGTTACCTGGCAACCTGAGACAACTTCTTTGTGAGGTGACTCCGGCATCCGGACAGGAGCGCTTTGTGTGGCGCCCCCGGGACAAGTCTTCGAGGAGTTCCCCAGGACCCTTGCTGGAGGTGCAGGAGGCCAGCCTCCTCTCCCAGCCCTGGCAGTGCCATTTGTACCGGGGGGAGAGGCTTCTGGGAACAGCGGTCTACTTCACGGAGCTGCCTGGCTCAGGTCTGAGACCCCGCAACATGGGGTCCCCAACTCCAGACCAGTCATCTTGATCCCATTTGCAGACCTCCTCCCCACCCCTCCCAGCTCTTTCTTTTCCAATCAGGGACCTGACTTCCAGCTCTTGTCTAGTCCTGACCCTCTCCTGCCAGGAATTAGTTGAATGATCCTGGACGAGTCCCTTAAACTCTTTGGGCCTCGTGGTCTGCATCTGTGAAATATGAGGGTGTGGCCAAACGTCCTTTCGGTCGTGACTCTATGCCCAATCCTGTACTTCTCCTTAGGTGCCCAGCGCTCCGAGAGAGCCCCAGGAGCCCTGAAGACAGGCCACCTCCCTCTCCTTATCGCCCTCGGTGTCCTCCTCCTGCTCCTGTTGGCGGCTGGAGCCTTTGGCTTTCACCTTTGGAGAAGACCGGTGAGCCAGAGACTCCCCTCCACTGCCACTGGTTTCCCTTCTCCCCAGTCCTCCGTGCTGTCTGGCACCACCTCCTCAGCAAAAGTGACGAAGGTGGGGCCTGAAGTTGCCTTTACAACCCCTTCTTCATAGGCCTCTGCACTCCAGGGACCCCTTGTGCCTGAAGAATGCAGGGGAGGCTTGAAGGGGCCGAGAAAAGGCCTGGGACCACATGGCGAGGGCAGGGGCGGTAAAAGAATAGATGGACCCAGTAGCTTCCTTACTCCCTTTCTCTTTGTCCTTTTTTTTACAGAGAGGAAGGGAGAGAGACAGAGAGTTAGAAACATCAATGAGAGAGAAACATCGATCAGCTGCCTCCTGCACATCTCCCATTGGGGATGTGCCCGCAACCAGGTACATGCCTCCGACCGGAATCGAACCCGGGACCTTTCAGTCCGCAGGCCGACGCTCTATCCACTGAGCCAAACCGGTTTCGGCTCTCTTTGTCCTTTTCTTTCTCTCACCCTCCGTGTCTTCCCACAGTGGCGGCCAAGAAGATTCTCTGCTTTAGAGCATGGGATTCACCCACCTCAGGCTCAGAGCAAGATAGGGGATCTGGAGCAAGAACCAGAGCCGGAGCCGGAGCTGGAGCCACAGCCACAGCCACAGCCACAGCCACAGCCACAGCCACAGCCACAGCCATAGCAGCCCTGACCTGGAGCTGAGGCAGCCAGTGGATCTTCATAGCTCAGTACAAATAAACTCCCATCAGCAGCAAGCCAGAGTCTGGCTCCTTCTTGTCCAGTGAAGAGTCTTGTCTCTCCCCAACCTCTGGGGGCTCCCTTCTCCCACTCCAGTCTTTCAACCTAATCTCCCCCTTACCCCCCTCCCCGGCAGGCTCACTTATCTTCTCCTTTCTGTTTCTGGCATCTCAGTGATTCCTTTTCTCCTTGTCTCTTTCTTACTATCTCTTATGGGGAGTAATTTTTCTAAAGTTCCAAAAAGCCCTCACCCCTTATCTTGATAGCCCTTTCCCGTCCTTTGGCTATCGTGCTGGCTGCCCTGGTTTCCTTTATATTTTTATTCCTCTGGCCCACCCCACCCCATCCCACGTTCAGCTCCACTTCAGCACTGTCCTTGTCCCTCTAGTTGTAGTGGGTGCGTGTGTACACACACACACACACACACACACACACACACACACAACAGCCCTGCCCTGTCGAATCCTCCTGGAGATCAAGTCTTGCAACCTTTCTGTGCGGGCTGCTGGGGTTCCTGTCTGCTTCTGCCCCACCCCCACGTTCCTCAGCTCCTGGGGCCGCATCTGTTCCTAGGCATGAGGACACACTGCCACCCAGTGGTCACTGTCTCACACCACTGGGTAGGCTGAGCACGTGGGAGATGAGCAGTGCAGTGGACAGGCAGCTTGTGTCCCCACATGTAGGCACCGCCTTTGTGGGGTGCCCTTGCGATGGTCTGCATACGAGGGTGCACCCAGCAGCTGTCACATGCTCTATGCACCCACCAGGAGAAGGACTGAACAATACATGCCTCAGGATGTGTTGGACCTGGACCTGGGAGGTTAAGATCCAAGTCTGACAAAGGAGAGTGTTGTGAACAAAGGCCCCACGTGGGGACAAGAGCAGCCAGCGAGGCAGCTGGCCGCTGCTGCAGCTTTGGGAGTCAGGAGCCCTGGCTTCTGACCCCAGCTGTGCTGACGTGACCAGAGTTAATCTCCCTGAGCCTCAGTTTCCTCGCCTATTAAATGGGATAGCAATAACCCACCAGAATGGGCTGTTGTGAGTATTGGATAGCAAAAGGGCTTAACTGTGCTGTGCTCCACGCATGTGATGTGCTTGTCTGATCATCCCTTTGTGAAGGAGGAAGCAGGCCTGCTCTGGTCATGCCAGGAATGATAGAGACGACCCACCTGCCTGCCTGCCCACCGTGTCTGTCTGTCCCTCTCAGAGAGAACATTCATGAGTGCTGGTTGTCTTAGAGCACACACACAGCCTCAGCCCACAGCACCCCCACAGCGACCTAGACCTCTGCCTGCAATGTGGGCCACGCTCTGGACTTTGGCCGCAGACAGCTCTGTCAGGGAACTTTACCCTGGGCAGGAGGGAAAAAATACTGAAAGAGAGTGGGAGCAAGGCTGCAGCAGCAGGACCCCCTTGTTTTAGTGGGGCAGGGGTTTCCTGGAAATTTTTGTGGGTGGCATTTTTCCTTTTGACTAGGTAACATCCTATGCCCTTTGGGCTTCTGAAAGTAGTCATCGAGGATTCACCAGTGTGAATCTGGGGGGGACTTCCCCTTGTTCCTGCACAAAGGGAGCAGGGAGGGGACAGCGGCAGAGCGATGGGCCACCTTGTTCACCCACGAAGGAAGTGAAGAGCAAAGAAAGAACAGAAGGAAGAGAGGGCATGGGGCTTGTGCTTACCGCGATCCTTTTATTAATTTTCACCCCCTTCCCTATGCGATCTCTCTTAGGGGGTGACACACCCTCCCCCTCCCCCTCTCCCTCTCCCTAGCAAGATAACCTCCAGCCCATTTTGTGTTGTCTTTGTCCTTCCAGGGAGCTGGGTTAATTCATCCCGCGCCTTCAGGCTCCTCTGTGAACCGAACCAGTATCCCTGGTTGGGGACCTAGAGGGGAAGGGGCACCAAGGAGGCAGGCAGCTCAGCCCTAGCTAGGTAGCTCAGTTGGTTAGAGCATTGTCCTGATATGCCAAGGTTGCAGGTTTGATCCTGGGTCAGGGCACATACAAGGAGCAAGCAATGAATGCATAAATGGATGAATAAGTGGAACAACAAATCAATCTCTCTCTCTCTTTTCCCCTTCACTCCTCCTCTCTCTCTCAAATTAGTAAATAAAATTTTTTTTTTTTTTAAAAAAAAGGAGGCAGGAAGCTCAGTGGGGCCTGTGGAGGGTGGGAGAGGGATCATTTCAGGTCCTTGTTTTTTTG